GGGACAACAATAAGCGCTGCCACAAAAGCAACTGCAGCAGCACCAATGATAACAAAAACAACAACAGCAGCAACATCATCAGGAACAACAACAACAACAACAACAGCAAGGGGTATCCAAAGGGTATTTGGCAGTAAGGCTTTAAACATGGGCATTGCGCATAAACGTAAGCGTTTTGGCTAATTTGTGTGTGCACGTGTGCGGTCATGTGTGTATCATTGCGTAAGTGTGTGGATAGCATTAATGAAGTGCCAATGACAATGTGTGTGTGTCTGTGTGTGTGTGTTTGTGCTTGCTTACACACTAAGCGTGTGTGTGGGAACTCAAACAAAAGCGTAGTGAAAAAGTGTTGCATACTTTTGGTCAACGTCAATTTGCAATTGAAAAGAATGACAATGGCTGCACGCTTGTAGCCATAGCTCATAGCTCATATATGTCACACACACACACACACACACACACACACACACACACACACACACACACATGGATACACCTAATGCATACAGATGCAGGCGGTCGGGTGCTCATGTGGCACGCCTTTAAAACAAAGTGGCACAAAAATGACATTACACAAAAAGGGATTTATTTAGTTTATTTGCTGTATATCAGCAGCCATAACTGTCAAGTGTTTGTTTTTGTTTGCTCGCTGTGAGGGTGAGCTACTGTTACTGCTACTTCTACTGCTACTGCTACTGCTACTGCTACTGCTACTGCTACTGCTGCTGCTACTGCTGTTGTTGCTGCTGTTGCTGCCTGAACTAGAGCTTTGCTGCATGACGGCCATCATCATCAATCATTTTGATTTGCGCTAAAAACTATGCTATGCTATGCTCAGCCATGGGAAGCTGCATTGCAAAATACAGCAACAACAACAACAACAACAACAAAAACAAACAAACACACCCACACTCATATACGAACAATAAAGTTCAGCTACAGTAAAAGCAACAACAAGGGACATGTGAAATGACAACAACAATTCATGTCGACAAGTTGCGTTTGCATTTTTTCTGATACCCTTCCCAATGGGTTTCCTAATTTGATGACGTAAAATGTAACGCCTGGCAGGACTGTTTCATAAGCTTCACGTCATTAAGCCCAAAGTTTCTTGAAGCTCAAGATAAGAATACGAATGCCAGCAGGTATCGCCAGCTTTGTCGTCTTTTTATCGCATTCTAATCTTTTGTCGAGAAGAAGAAAGGGCTTTATTCAAAATTATTTTATTTGAAAATATCGTAAATATATATTCTCTTTTTGAAAATATATCAAAATAAAAGAAGAATTTCTGAATGTTTTAGTTTTTATTAGAAATCCTCCAGCAGTTGGACGAGAGTATCTAGTTATCGGGCATACACGACTGGAAAACTCATTTGTTTTTTGTATTTGATGCATTTAGTAAGTATTTTCTAGTCCTTTGTTTTATTTGTGACTAGCAAATGCATTTGCATGCAAACACACATAATGTCCATCCCGCTGTCTCCTCTGGCCACTAGCTGCTACACTGGTAGCTGTAAGTATGCATACCCTATGCATGCATTAGTTTTAGCTGCTCGAGCAGTTAATAGATAAGAGAGGCGGACCGGGCGGTGATGCTTGCGGGGGAAACGCGTCGCTTAGTCGGCTGGTAAAATATTTTTACGGCTCGGTCGTAAAGCTGCTTGTCAAATATTTTTACAGCATTTTAAACACATTGCCCGCTCTAGAGGCATATACTACACGCAGCACGCTTACTGAATGGAAATACATGGACAATATATATGGGCACATAATGAAATTTTAATTAAGCCCAAGCAACGGCGTCAGTAGCAGCAGTTGCAACAGCCGAAGGCGCTCGAAATGTGCGTCTTTTAATGCAATTTATAATTACTTACATGCAACAGCCACGGCAGCAAGTAAGTATTATTGTAACACTGCCAATGCCTCACAGTCCATTTCACAGCCACATTCTCAGAAAGGTGGACGTGGGGCATGGGGTGGTTGGGGTCCCGGTGTCAGTATTTGCTCAGACGTTGCCCTTTGCGAATCAATTAAATTAAAAACACTCTCGCAATTGTTGCCCATGCAAATGCAGCGAATGGGCAAATGAATACGCCAGTCAGCAAAACGGGCAAATTAATGAATAAACGAACATACGAATGAATACATAAATGAGTGTCACATTGTTCGAATGTGCTCGATTAATGAGTCCACCGCTTTTACTTAAGATTAAGTTTAAAAAAAAAGTATTAAGATAGAAATTCTTGAGACAACTTATTTATTTCTTATTATTATTTATTAAACAGTTTGTTAATACTCTGTTGCCGTCAGCTGTGTTTCCTTTGCTTTTGCTATTTTGGGTTTTATAAGCTTATAAGTTTGTATTTCTACAGCAAAATCGTAAGGCTTTCCAATCTTCCCAACCTTTTCAGATTTTCGTTTATTTCTCTGTATCTTCAACTGATATCCTCCAAAAAATAACCTTCTTTTTGTAATATAACAGCTTACACACATATACATATACACACTACATACATGCTGATACGGCAGTTAAAGATTCGATTAAGAGTCTGAAAACTAATCTAATCCTTTTAAATCACTTTCTTGAGATAATCTGATAAATCTCAGCTTTTTCTTCTTTGGAAATTTCTCAAGTGGCTACTTTTTGTCCACATTTGGCATAGAATTTCTTAGCTGCTAATTCTCAGCATTTCCACATCTTTTTCTCCCTAATATCCAACTCTGTGTCTGTCTGTCTCATTCTGCAAAAGTTATCGTAAGGCAGCTTGCCAACCTACATAAATCAAAAGCTTGACATAAAACCTTGAAATGTTCAATATGAATTCAGCATATATACTATGTATATCTCACTCTCACTCTCGCCTTGTCTCTTTCGCTCGGTGTCTTTGTGTCGCAATGCCACTCCCAAATTGCACTAATCTCATGAGGAGCGCTCGCTGCAGCACGCTGTTGGCCTCCGGTTTTCGCTTTCGCTCAAAACTTTCTAATAATTTCTATTTGAAAGGCGGTCCAAAAGTTGTGCGTGGTGTGCAAAACTGTCATATTTCATAAGTCTCTCGGGCAGAGAGGGGTGTGGTAGGGTGTTGGGCGTGGGGAACGGCAGTGTGTGAGAGAGGGGCAAGAGGGACAGCGGCTGTCTGTGTATAATTACATGGTTCAACTGTCACGGCGGAAAACAAATAAATGAGTTTCACTTGCAAAACTTTGCTAGTAACAACGGCAGCTTGGCTTATGGCTTCACCATATCGAATCCACATGCCACATGCGGCAAATGCACTTTGTGGCCATCGATCGCTCCTGCTGCTGCTGCTGCCGCTGCTGCTGCAGCACATGCATCAAAATTCGATACGCATTCATTTTGATGCCCTTTTCGGAGTAAAGTTTTATGATGCAGAAATGTTGAAACTTTGTTGCCGCACGGCATCCATATGCTGCTCCCCAAAATAGATACACAGGCTGGCAGATACAGCGGGCCGCGGTAGAGTTGGTAGAGCTGCTTGACAATTAAAGCCAAACAATGCCTGAATTCCAGCCAGATTGAAGTCAGCCACCCCCGCTCGCGTTGGCAACAAGTTTCGACCAGGTTGTCAAATCGATGCGAAATACCTGAGCTCCGCTCCGGTCCGAGCATTTGAAATTAATTCAGATTGCAATTCTTTGAATTATACGCATCACCAAACTATGATTTCTCATGAAATATTAATGCCGGCATGCGACATTTGATATTTTCCGCAGGCAGCTTTTTTTTTTTTGTGCTTTGGATGCCACCCAGCACGCCGCAACGATTCTGAATCCGAATGCTAAACGCAGTCAGGGCCAACTTCGTTATCATTGTCAACATGCCATTGAGTCGAGTCCGCCGATGCCCGCATCCGTTGCCCCCGTTGTCTCGGCATAATCAGAGCAATTCCAAAGTTGTGTCTGTCAAAAAGGCTGGCACAAAATGTGGCCATCCATGGCGGCTCATCCACATTCCCATGCTCAGTCTGACGCTCATCGTTGTCGTCCACGTCATGCTCAACGCTGTCTGCGCCTCGTGACATTTTTTTCGTATTCCTTTTTTTTTGTGGCACTTCCTTTTTGACACCGGCGTTCCGCTACGTTTCACGGCTGTTCTACCTGCTCAGCTACTGAGCCCATCGCCACACATCTAATGCCCCCTCAACTTCGGTGTCTATCAATGCCAGCGATTGTCCTGCTGCCGCTGCTGCTGCTCTGCTGCCGCTCTGCTGCCAGCCGGAAAATGTGAATTTATCACACGAGCACGTACGCATATTTCTCGGCGTTGGCCCTTTTTCCGCTCGCCCCCCCGCCCCCCCCTACCCCATTTTTTTTTTCTGGTGGATTGGATACGCTGCCGAAAAGTGGCACGATTGCTTCATTGCAAACGTCGTTATGCTCAAGTGGCGCACACAGATTAGTTAATGTTCCACTTCGAATGTGTGTCGGGGTCGCCAACGGTGTGGCCACTGGCCGACATGCTTATCTCTGCTGTTGCACGTGCCCCATGTGCTCGATATCGCTGGCTGTATGCGCGTGTGTGTGTGGCGCCACTCAATGCACCTGCTCAGAGTCGCAGGCAGCAGCGCGCACTCGAATCGTGAATTTGAATGTCTTAATTGCATCCTGTTTGTGGCAAATTCACTTCTGCAACAATTAAAAGCCAATTTTGTAGCGCGTCGACAGCTGGCAGCGCACTGGGGTTTCTAATCAACGCAGCGGGTGGTGGGCGTTGCCATTCGCAGGGGGTGGCGTTGGTAGCCCAGGGACACCGGCCCCGCCAATGGGTCTCCTTTTCGCAATTCTCCTTTATTTCCGCTGCGCAACAAAAATTCCCAGACATTTGCTTAATTTAAGGAAAGAAGCTGCAGTCTTCAAACATATTTGAATACCCTTTTACAAATATTAAAGATGTTTTGAACCAAACTTTAGTCTGTTCGAACCTACCCTTAACCTGAAACGAACCTTGTTGCTATCAGAAAATGTTTGAAACATAATGGTCAGCCTATCAATAAAATGAATATAATTAATTTAATTAACAATAGATTGAAGTTAGATAGAAAATTGTAAGGAATGTGACGAGCTTCGGCACAAATATGGGTTCATAGATGCTAAAAGCCGGGCTCACGAACCGAACTTTAAGGGCTGGAACTCAACATGTTTACACAAAGAACTCAACTAACAATTGATTGAGTTCGATTTTTTTAAGTCTTCCAACTCAAGAATAATTTAAAATGTCAACCTTCCCTTATGTACATGCGCATATATACAACAGAATAATTTGGACTCGAAAATATTTTAGCATTTTGTAGTTCCGATAGCCAGTTCTGTTTTGGGGTTAAAGCTCGGTCCCGTTCTAGTCTCACTCCGCTCGCGTGTCAAAGCTCACGTAGTATTCGTTAGACGCGCTAAAAGCGAATCATTTAACGAACATTAACATTCCGCCCACAAATTGGGTTGGCTGATAAAACTGCGCACTTTTGCTTTGTCGTCGTCCTCGTCGTCGTCTGCAGCTGCAGGCAGCGACCCAGACAGGATGTAGCGCAACAAAGAGCGGCAGAGCAGGGATGGAGCTGCAGCTGTGGTCGCTAATTAAATTGTGCTGCCACTCAAGGTGCAGGTACTTTATTGTTATTGCTTCACATGCAGCGCGTGGTGATCAGCAGCGGATCGCACTCGCCGGCAAAGTCATCCAGATTGGGCGCACTCTGGCGATAGAAATGCGGTGGCACAATCAACACTCTGCCATAATTTGGAAAGGTGATCAGTGGCGATATCTGTGCCTGGTTCTCGGGCTCCTGAGTTGGCTGTTGTGTGCCAGGAACTGGTAGCCAAATGTAGCTACGCGTCTGCAGAATGTCCTGCCAATGCAAGCGATTGGCGCGACAAATTTGACCGATTGTCGTCCCGTATTTGAGCGCCAGGTGTGCCATGGTGTCCTCGTTGCACACTCGATGACGCGTCCAGAGCGCCAAGCTGCCGAGCTGATGGCCACTCAAATTGGGCGCATCTTGTGGACGCAGCGCCTCCCTAGCGCACATAGCGGCTAGAATTATGAATTCTTAGTATCGAAACATATCATAAAGAGTATATATTTGTATATTGGGAATTATTGTAAACGAAGCGCCAACTCAACTCATACGAATACATCGCATCATTATATTCACATACTCCACTGCACGACACGAATTCCGCTGCCCCTTTCATGGGCTGATTGGTGCTTTATGCAAATCACTTCACATACATTTGTTGTCCGCAACTCGAGCCTCGTAATCAAGTCTTGTGCGGCCAACGCTGCGTAAACGCAATCAGCGGTTGTGGTAATCGCCAGATTGAATACGTTGAATGTTGATTATGTTTTCAATTGGGCTTGCTTAGAGTCGGTTATCCCTCTCGATCTAAGTATTCAAGACTAACGCGCAGGTGATTGCCAGTTTAAGGCCATTTCTTTAAAGCGGGTTGAACAACAATCATTTCAAAATATTACGAATGGGCGCAGAGCAAATAATTCCTTTTCCCAGACTAGTGTATAGAAGTTATATTAATAAGGTTATTATTCCTAATTATTATATTTGATTAAATTATACGAAATTTATAGAATAAATTTAAAAGCCTGTGCAAATATTTTCATCAATATTTTTGGCACGTAATGTTTGCAAATGTATTTGGTTGTAGGTCCAATGTGAATTACAGTCTTTTCTTGTTAACATAATAAATTTCAATCAACGCAGCAAATGTGGCTCGATTCGATGCACACTGGGAACGCCGCTTGTTCATGTCGCAGTCCTGCAGAAATATGTAAAAATGATTCAAGGCAAAAGAAGTGGAAAACTCTTTGCCGTTACGCTGAGCTGACTGATGGCCTGGTAAGGGGTAAGGGGTATGGGGTATGGGGTAAGGGGTAAAGGGTAAGGGGTAGGGGGAGCGGGGTAGGGTTTCGCTTTGGAAGTAATCTAGTGTAAAGCCATTTGATGAGCCCTCGATTCAGTTGAATTCGATATGACATCATTATATGTATATAGAAGCAACGTAATCATGTGTCAGGGATATGGAAGGGGGTGAAATGCGGCTTTGAACCGTTATGAAAATTATTTACCCATATCTTATATTTCAAACTGATTTCGAAGGGAAAAAATTTTAAAATGAGAACTTTTGATCTTAAAATATTTATAAAGTGAACATTATGGAATATACGAAGGAGAAATACTCAGAGGATAGTGACATACCAACCTGTGCCAGGAGACGAGTCTTTGTGACAATCATGCTTTTCTTAGGAATGGCCAATGCGTATGTTATGCGCACCAATATGTCCGTTGCTATTGTAGCCATGGTCGACCACAAAAGCATCACGAAAGAAAGAAACTCCAACTCAACTCGGTATATTGAAGGTGATTTGCACGGCGAGTTCAACTGGAGCTACAAGCTACAGGGCTACATATTGGCCAGTTTCTTCTATGGCTATGTTTTAACACAAATCCCATTTGGATTTCTTATCAAGAACTACGGCTCCAAACATTTCCTTGGCTGGGGAATGATGATCAACTCTTTGGCCGCATTCCTAGTACCAATTTCCGCCCGAAAGGGTGGCTATTTGGCTCTCTGTGTGGTTCGCTTCGTCCAGGGCCTGGGCGAGGGTCCCATTGTACCCTGCACACACGCCATGCTGGCCCACTGGATACCGCCCGATGAGCGTTCACGTTCCGGCGCCGCTGTCTATGCGGGAGCCCAGTTTGGTACCATTGTATCCATGCCGCTGAGTGGCCTGTTAGCGGTACATGGCTTTGACGGTGGCTGGCCTTCGATTTTTTACGTTTTTGGAATTGTAAGCACATTATGGAGCGTGCTATTCCTTTGGCTGGTCCCCGAGGATCCAAGCGTCGCCAAGACCATCAGCGAAGCGGAGCGCAAGTATATTAGTAAGGCCATCTGGAGTACGCAGTCAGCGGACAATACAGCCAAAACCCCAATTTGTAGCATATTTAAATCTGTGCCTTTTTGGGCCATCATGATCGCGCATTCGGGACAGAACTATGGCTATGAGACGCTGATGACCGAGCTGCCCACCTACATGGCAATGGTAATGAAGGTGAAGCTGAAAGCGAATGGTTTTCTCTCCTCGTTACCCTATCTGGCCATGTGGATTACGGCCATAGTGTTTTCTGTTATTGCCGATAGGCTGATCCGCAACAATATGAGCATTACCTTGGCACGCAAGATTATGAACAGCTTTGGACAGTATGGGCCGGCGGTAACACTCCTGGCCGTTGGATATTGTTATCAGAGTTTGATATTAACTGTGGCTTTATTCACCATCGGCATGGGCCTTAACGGTGCCATCTATTCGGGCTTTAAGATCAATCACTTGGATCTCTCGCCAACCTTTGCCGGCCTTCTCATGTCCATGACTAATTGCTGCGCAAATCTGATCGGCCTTACAGCACCCATGGTCGCCGGGCATGTGATCAATCTGGATCCCTCTATCGCAAACTGGCGCATCGTGTTCCTCATCTCGTCCGCCGTTTATGGCACATGTGCCACATTCTTTTTACTATTTGCTTCGGGCAAACGACAATGGTAACAATAAAAAATTAAAACTCAATTCTGTAGTGCTGTGCACAAATCAATTTTTTGGCCTATAGCCTGCGGCAGTTTTTCTGCTAATGACGCCAACATGTCACAACACACAGCACCGTGGACATGAGATTTTGAACAAGGACATCAATCAAAAATGTCCGTGCACTTGGCGCATTTTGTAGCCCTTAGCCTCGCTCATCATAATATTTTGCATTCGCATTGCATGCCATACAACAAACGTGAATTCATACCCTCCCAATCAAATACATTCACTGAGTATTTTATACGTAAAAGTTGCACATATTTTAAACCAACCTTAGACCCCCAGCGGAATTGCAAATCGGACAAAAACAAACACACACTTGTCCCTGCCAAAGCCCTTAAGACCTGCCACTTTAGAGTTGATCAAAAATATATATACAAATATATATGTATATATACGTATATATATTAATGCCCATGAGCCCATTGCTAATGGGTAAGAAGAGTATAATATTTTTACACACATGTAGGTGACAGGCCAGAGGGAGCATCATCGCCCTAATAGACGACTCTTCATTGACTTAATTCTTATGTAAACACATATCTGCAGCTATGAGAAGATTTCTTGTAGTTAGAAACATCACTATGTTCAAAACAACGCCTGACTACGACCACTCTAGAATGCATTACAGAGTATCTTGGTGTCGTATAGGCTACCAAATGGATAGATACCCGCATGCGGTCACTAGATTGTTGAAAATGTTCATGTTTGTTGGGGTAACAAGTATTGTGGGCTGCCTCAGCTTCAAAAAGCTTACAAATGTTGGAAATTTGGATAACTTATTCCTATGAACCACAGCAGAAAGAGTGTAAAATTTTTTTCCGAAATCTCCTGCCATTTCAAATATGTTGTATTGCTTTTGAGACATGTTTTTGCAAGTTCTCACACATAATAAGAAATTATGAATACTTAACTTCTTGGATACATCCCCAATTACCGTCAAAATTGAAACAGGAAGAGCCTTGCGCTTTGGTATCTGCGCACTTTTGTATGCAACATTTAAGCGCTGATTGGACTATAAGCAACTAAGTTAATAAAGAACGAATGTCTTTCAGTGTAGGACGCAGCAAGCCACGTGATTTCCTGTTTATATGCGAGCTCTTGTGTGTGTGAGAGCAGAGTGCAGGGTATTGCTAGTCGAGCAGGCCTGACAAGAGCACTCTCGCCTGCTTTTAAATGAAGCTGCCTTAGCTGAGCTTGTCTGCTGGTAGATAAGAAACTGTACGCACGTTAACAAATTAAGTTGTCACATACTTTCATCATATAAGTTTGTATGTTCGTATATGGCAAATCGCATAAGGCTTCTCGGGTGTTGATGTCTTTATCGTTTAGCACCCACAGCGCGCCGCGCACTCGAACTGGCGAAACTCAACTCAAACCTTATTTGGGCAAAACCACAGCGAATAACCCAAACTGGTAGCGCCTCAACAAGTTTAAGCCGCTTAAGTAATAATTTGCGTGCACATTAAACAACACCCAACGCACGAGCAACCCTTTCGGCAACTGGCATCCCCACACCCGTAATGCTCCACCGCGACATAGAAGCAATTCCTGACAGTCGTTAGATACACTCGCTTGGCTACAGATGCAGATACTCTCATATACACACACACACACCTGCCGCTGGCCGCAAAATGTGCGCCAGTGTTGTAATAATCAGGACATTTTAAGCAGCTGTAGGCGAACTAAAACTTGGTGGGGCAGTCGGCGGTGGCACAATTTTTGGCCAGCATGTTTGCCTGTCTGCACGTCGCGTTCTGTCGCCAGCGAAGCGTCTAGATAGGGTGAATATGTAATTGGGTTTTCGCCTGATTCAACATGCGCCAAAATGTCAAAGTATTCCGCAACACTGGTCGACCGTTTTGTGCGTCGCTCTGTGGCACTGCAACTGAAATGGATTCACGGTTTTCTTTACTTATTGCGATGGCAATTGCGATTATGATTGCAATTGTGATTGCGCTTTTCGTGCCAGCCGTCTGTTACTTGAGAATTATAACCATTTAAAGAGCCGGTGCTGCACAACGCTGCAGTTGCCAAAAGAGTAGCAGCAAAAAGGTGGAAGCTCTTACATTGTTATTTGCCGATACAATTTATATGTTTTAGGATGTATTTTATAAGCATATTCGTAATAAATATTTGGCAGTTACAGAACCAAAAAAAACTTATTTTGTAGCATGGCTTCTAGTCGGGTTCCGTTATCTGAAATATTTGTTATGCTTTTATTGGGTAATTTTTTTACTACACAAAATTACGCTGAATGAAAATCGGGACAGAAAAGTACGAACAGCAATTTTATTCGCAATTTAAAACGATGCGAAATTGGAAGTTAACCGATTCGAATTTACATTTTACGATTTGCAGAGCTGCATTTTAATAGTTTTTTTTTCTATCTCTCGGATTCCAGCGCTGCGCTAAATGTTGCTA